CGGGAGTAAATGAGTATATGTGTGTGTACTTTGAAGTTATCGTGGACATGAACAGTCCCTGACGATCAACAAACAAAAGCTTTCACAGCCAAAAAGAGATTGATAAGTAAGAAAGAAAACAATAAATAGGGAGTAGAGAAAAGGAAAAACACTAATTTTTGTTTATTTTCCCCTTTAAAGACAAAAATTTAAAGCAAAAAAAACGCATATCTAAAAAAAATGCATTTATTCTCAGGTGAGAAATAAAGGAAAATATGCTTATTTCAAGAAAATTGGAAATACTTTTTTTTTTCATTTTTGCAGTGACTGCAGTGACATGGTAATGCTTTCAAAGCATTGCTTTCCTCTGACATTCTCTGAGTTCAAGGGAAAAGCTGGTGCAAATCTTTAAAACTTAAGGATGACACTAAAGGGGTTTGAAATAAACATTTAAGAGAGTTTATCCAATATATCCTATAAAGAGAAGCAACCCTCCGCCTAGCTATAACTCTGTCAGGTTACAGGAGGTGAGAAGACACTGACTTTCACACAACAAACATGGCATGATAGCATGAAAGCACTTAATGCTACTCCCAAAGGAAGATCAGCAGAACCCACATCTGGAACAGACCTGCAGCTGCATTCAGGGTTTGAAAAAAAAAGAAATAAACTGAAGGGCTAACCAACATATCCATAACATTCTAACTTAATCCAAAAAAGTCAATATGATCTGTCCAGTTGTACACTACCGGACACAATTTTACAAAAAAAGTAAAATAGTGAAACCTGTTTGCATATATGCAGCTCAAAGTAAAGATAACGCATGTCGCCTGCAACTAAAAAAATCCTGCTAACATTCTTTTCAAAGACCATCTAAAATGTTTATCAAAGGAGATTATTCTAATGATTATTCAGAAAACAACGACTACCCCAATAAATATTGAGTATTAGAATGTAGGGTAGTCCCCTATGGTACAAAATGTGCTGCTAACTACTTAATTAGACAGTTGACAATTTAAGTCCTAAACACTGAAAAATCCGATTTTGCATCCGATCCAAGGAAAAATAGTCAGGTTTGGAATCGCACATCGTGTATATACAGTGGAAGGCGGGGCAGACTTGTGCAAAAAAACGATCAATGAAACATTTCAATAAACAGAATACTTTACCCATGATAGGAGTTCAGGAGGACAGAAAAAGGATAGAGTAAAATACTGATCCTATTTGAGCCTCATAAAAAACAACAAGGGGTGGTAGGAAAGCACAACTTATCACTCTCAAGAAGGAGAAAAAAAAAACCTTCCATAGCGATGCTCTTTGAGCCTCACAAAACAACGAGAGGCAAACAGTGGCTGTATGCTTATCATGCTCCCCTCTTTATGAAGAAAAAAAAAATTTGACAAACTTTACAGATCTCTTTCTGAGAATCACCTTTCAGTTCCTCATCTAGTACCCATATAAACAGTCCCAACGCGTTTATTTCTGCATTTTCCTTTTCATTAAACATAGTTCCCATTACATTTTGAATTTGGGGTTATAAAATCTTTTTCTGCCCTAGATGCTGCACAGATTTATGAACTGGGGGTTTACTTTGTAGATTTCATAATCTCTCCAAGTCAAATGTAGGAAATTCTTTCATATTGTGGGGTACTGACAAACATGAAAAAGATCTGCACAGATTGGGATCTGCTCACCCTGTGTAGTTGGCGCTTCTTTATATAAAGTCAGGGAGATGTGAAAAAAAATTGGATCTGAAATTAAAAGGTTGGGCGCAACCAGTGTGACCAGGGCTTTGCTCTAACAAATGGTGGTCTGTGTTTCAGGCAATCTTTCATCCAAGCAATTGCTGCCTCTTCTACCTGAGTCTTCTTAAATTTCTTACAAGTAAGTCAGCTCGACCTGATGCCTTATTTTTCCAGTCTCTCCAGTTGACTTCTAGAGACAAACAGGTGGCATAAGGAGTCAAAGGGAGCAGCATGATTTTCTAATTTGGTTGAGAACAAACTCATGCCAGAGGTGCAAGATGAATCCTTTGAGCTGTGACAGAAAAGCTCTGGTGTCAAAGAAGGATGTGATGTCTGTTTGACTGTGTGCAGAAGAGAAGTATGCTGAGTTTCATCCTTGAACCATACCTACTGAGGAATGTGATTTTGTCATTGCAATTGTTCACACCCATAATATGCCCCTGCTTCTGTTTGAAGCCTGTGATATTCTTCATCCCCTCTTCCTGTATGCCTGTGTGCTTTCTGTTATCTTGACTTTCAGTTGCTTTTTTGTACTCGATAAATTCTTGTGTGACTCCTGAACCTTTCTTTTTTCTTGTTTAGCAGTTCCTTCAGATCACTGGTGATCCTGGGCTTTATGACTGATTCATTCCGACATAACTACATATACTTACACATAATTATGCTTCCAAAGCTTTGTTGTTCTTCTGGAAGGTAAACCTCAGCCTCAAAGTTATCCAGACTCTAGGTTTAATATGAAGTAGTAGACTATGCTTCACACTTAGTGATGACAAAATAATCCCCACAGCATCATTCTGCTCAAATTTTGACCAGGGAAATGTTGTGTTCAGTCAAAGTCCATATTTTACAGCAGTATTTACATGTTGGCCACAAAGTTAAGTAATGATGGGGGGTTTTTTGTTTGTTTTTTTAATCAGAGCACATCCTTCAACGTGTTTTGCGATGTCCCTTTATATGCTTTTGGGCAATGCTACAGTATGAAACATACTGTATGGTCCCAGCTGGTCCCAGCTAATTCCTAACTGCAAGCACTATTCAGATATCTTATTATGGCGACCGTGGACACATTTCATCACGGCTTAATAATCCTTACCCATTTCATATATCTGGATTAAGTCAAAGTCTTTGTAAGTAAACATGAGGAACATTATGTGCCTCTGTTGTTCATATCGCTGCTCCTCACACTTCTTCTTCTTGGGGCTTGTCTTTACTTTATACTGTAGTATATTACAAAAATTCACTTACTGGTCTGGTGTAGTGACTAAACTACAGTAGCTATCAAAGGGGAAGCATGTTAGTGTCTGGTCTGTCTACATGTGTGAATATTCTTCTGAGTTGGAAGAAAAAAACTAATATTAATAGCAAAGGAGTACTCTGTAGTTACCAAGGATAACATAGGCCTATAGTAGACTTTGGAGGCTTAAAAAGCCTCCAAAAACAAGATAATGTTTACAATTGCTCTGTTTTTTTTTTATGGAAATTAGTGTCTACTCCCAAGAAAGTCTCTTATGTAAATGAGACCACTAGTCTCAATGAAAGGGCCTGTTTTGATAAAATAAATATATAAATAAAACTTGAATATTCAATAGACCAAACTTGAGTCCAAGAACCCTATATAGACCAGACAGAGTTTATTGGTGGCCAGTCATATGAAACCCACTGTACGAATGCCACTGAGATTAGTGAGTAAAGATTAGCTTCAAAAATAATCCCAATAAAGACAAAAGAGACACCAGACAAGTTATGAATCCATCACAATGACTTTTAGAACAGGAATGTTATAAAACAATAAAAATACAACATTCGTACAATATTTGGAGCTATGTAATTCTATTCATAAAACATGGCAGTAAAAAAAACAGTAGAACTGACAAGGTGAACATTAATCAAAGGTTTTTGTAAATTCATTATCATCATTATTTAGCATTAATAACTCTGGAGGAGCTGCTAAGACTCAAAGCTCATATGACAAAGATTTACTAGCAAGCAAATATCCCTTTACACCTTATTATGCTGTTGCTAATGCAGTGACAAGAATTATGATTGCTAGAAGGAAGCTATTGTATAGCAAGTAGCATTTGCCGTTGAGCGTAAAACTGAGCATTGCAAAACAATAGAAAAAATGTACTCTAAAAACATCACAACTTCACTTTACAACCAACTAATAAAATGCTGAAAATGAATGACTGAAAATAACTTTCCAACAGTCAAGGTTGGAGCAGAATGATGCTTTGAGGCTGAGGTTTACCTTTCAGCAGAACAATGCATTGATGTCATGATTATGTATCAATATATGTAGTTACGTAGGAATGGCCCAGTCAAAATTCTGTAAAAAGATTCTGTTTTCATAAAATCTGGCTATGCCGGTTCTATCTTAGTTAAGGAGAATTGGCACAAAAAAAAAATCTATATGTTTGCTACAGTTAAAGTCACTTGCAGCTCTAATTGTAGAAAAGGGTTGTTTAAAAACATCCTGACAGAATAAAAATTGACTCCAGATAATGTGCAATAAATGGTATTGATCTTTACACAATGAGGTTTGTGGTTTTAACTTGACAAAATGTAAAACAACAAAAAAATAAATAAATAAATACATCTATAGGATACCAATACTTTTCATTGTATTTTAGTATTTTATTTAGTTATATATGGCTATCCTGGAGACTTTAACTTACTTGGGATACAACAATGAATAGGGTTTTATTAATATGCAAAACAGTTTTAAGCTGAATTTTTGCAGGTTTTTCTACAGATCTCTTGCTACAGTAATGATTGACAAGTCCACTAGATGTCTGCATTTTAAATCTTATGTGTGAACTATTGAGAGCTCCAAAGAGAGCCACCACAGCGACAAACAAGAAGCAAAGACATTAAAGTCTATGTTATATTATTCTATTCCACACTCTATTCTGAATGCTTCCTAAAGGGGCAGAACCTGCTCTCATTATGTTGCTGTTTGTGCGCTCCTGACATCCCAGGGGAGATCCAGGATCTGCTTACTGGCAGAGAGTTATTTTTCATCATCAAAGTGCCTCTCTACAGAAATACAGTCAAACTTGGATGATGAACTGAAGTTAACTTTTACTTAGTGTTTGAAATAAAAACCCTTTACTTTTGCAAAGAAACATGAAGATGATTAACTAGAGGTAACGTCTAAAATTATTTATTCAAAGCAAAATGAAAACCTTAGGTGAAAATGTACCAATAATGAGTTAGACTGCATAGAAGTAGCCTCCATGTTTGCGTCTGAATCAGATAAGGAGCGCAGTCTCCTACCTTGCGCTGCAAGGAGCACCGGCAGCAGGAAAAGCTGGAGTTTGCCGGATAAATTCATCAATACATCTGGGTTTGGCGATACCTTAATTGGACAAAATGGGATTTCGGACAGCAAGTTCCTTTCTCTATTTAATTTTCGACGTCCGTGCAACCGGGAGATTAAGGTTACCCTTTGCGTTCCGTTGCGTGGAAAGACGAGTGCGCACTGCCGACATGGACAACTTCTCGTCCCGCCTCCCCTTCAACATCCCCAGCTCCTGTTAACAACACAGCCTCCCTCCATCTCACTCTGAGGGTTAAACTTAACGACCTGACTCACAGTGAGTCATAGAGGCTGAGGACAAAATAATGAAATGATTTTCTAGAATTTCCTTCTTTCATCTGCGGAATATTAAAAAAAATAGAAATATCCTGTCCACGGGTGATGCTGAGAAACTAGTCCATGCATTTGTTACTTCAAGGCTGGACTATTGTAATTCTTTACTATCAGGAAGTCCACAAACTGTAGA